CCCTATTCTGTAGGTTTCTTAAATTACATGCAGAGTAGCCATAGTTACGTTCCCTAACAGCATTGCTTTGTATGCATTAAAATAAAAAGCTGATAATGACAGTATGGATTGCAGCCACTTCACCTCCACAAGCAGAAGATACAGGGGAATAATGTCATCATTGAAGAAAGCAGCCTGAGGCTTTATTGTCACTAACAGCAGTAAGAAAATACCATTTTGAAAAAGGAGTGGTTGTCAGAAAGCTTAAGAAAAAAAGACATAGTGGATAAGTGCCAGCTTCTCCCTTCCTCTCTGTGGTAGGTCACTGCTGATGGCGTCGCCAACTGCAGACACTTTGTTGTGAAAATGCGTTTAGTTTTGGAGAATGTAATCAGCATCAGAGTATCACCGTTTCTGCACACGAAACAAAAATCACTCAGTTCTTGTTTCTTGGTTTTCTGAATCTCAACTGATGCTCCCAGGATCTTCCGTGTTCCCGGTGTTAGATGAGTCCCTGCAGCTGATGCTTCATCATTTAGGAAACACGTTGTGTCGGGAAGGTTTGGGCTGCATGCTGCAATGTCTGGATTCTGCTAAAAGGCTTGAAAAAGTTTACTACTTAAAAATCATCACTGGGGATGAGTTATTGTGTGTTATACACATAGTCAAAGGAGCTGTGCCATCCTAGAGAAATATCTGGGAAAAATTAAGTGGACCCCAATGTTTCAGAGTTTCACACTTGAAAATCTGGCAGAAACAAAGAGCTCCGGAGAAACTGGACGTCTAAGATGGATATTGGAATTTAAACTGAAGCTTTGTTGCCTGCCATAGAAATATAATGTTAAAACATATATATTCTATTTAAGTCCTAGATTGTTACCTGGTGGAGAGAAAGATGGGAATTTAATGTGGTTCCTCAGGAAGAGAGAGGCGGTGCTGGGTAAAGAGGAGATACAGGGAACGTCCAGCTGAGTCCAGAGAGAAATCTGGTCTTTGACCAGTGTGAAGGAGGAAGGCAGAGGGGCTGGGTGATGTGATGCCACTGGCCGCCTCGTGCTGTGGTAGGGAAGCCATTTTAGGAGCCAGCCGGCCCTGAGAGAAGGCTGTGGCTGCCATCTTGAGTGGGCAGCAGGGAGGCAACTTGGCCATCACAGGCAAATGTTGCAGAAAGATCTGGGGGAAAAAAGCCCCTGGACTGGCGCCTAGAAAAAACCTGAGGGAAAGGCAGGCTGCTGTTTCACAGGGGAATGGTTTACAGAACTGTGTTATGCAGCCCTTTGGAGGGAACCGCATGCCTCCTCACAGAGCAGCTTCCCACAATGGCTGCCTCACATGGGGTGAAGGAGGGCTGGGGCTTGGGGGTGCCTCCTGCCCACTCCCTTCTCCAGCATGGCGGTGACTGCAAGTGCCAATCTGCTTTCTGTTCAGCTCCGTTTCTTGCCCTTTTATTTTTCCCTGGCTGCTCCTGCCCATATGGTGTGCCCCCATTTTAGATGGGGAAGGAGGACATGCCTTGGCATCGTGGAGGGACGCAGGGGGCCAAAGTCTGGAAAAGACGGGAAATCTTCTTCTTCCCTCAGGAAAACACCACCAGGAAAAAGGTTTTAAAGCCTCCTGAAGTGGCCAGAGCATGAGAGGAGACATGGATCTCCTTATCAGAGGAACTTGTTAGCAGAAATGATGGCAAAGGAATAAGGAAGGAAGAGCTCCAGGCTGGTGTTAAGACTATGACAAAGGATGTGGGTGAATCTGACAAGAGGTTGAAGGGACCAGTGGTATTTGAATACCTGGATTTGTGAGAAATAACTGATAACGTGAAAACTCAAGGCTGCAAGGCTAAAGAAAGAAATAAAGAAGTCCTGTTGTGAGGCTGCAGTCCTGGAGGCGGTGAAGGCCCTGGGCCTTAACTTCTTCACTTCCCCGTGGAAGAGATCACTGGACAAAAATTACTTTTCCTGTTGAGAAAAACCATTGAGATGGAAAATCTTTTAATATCTAAGAGGCCAAGGAGGGTACTACCTTGATTCCAAATGAAAAATTCTGATAAATTGGTGAATTTTAAGTTGATTTTGTAAAATTACACTGGATACAGAGCAGGTAAAACTTATCAGAATTTCTTTTTAAAGATAATATTTTTCCCCCTATTGAAGGAGAAAGATAAATTAGAAAGGAGCTTGTTGAAAATTAAGCTTTTTATTGTAAACAAACAAAGCTTTTTTAGAAACATAAAAACATCCCTTTCTTGGTTAATACACATTAATCAGTTATGCTTTTGCGGTAACGAAGTGCAGTGCTTGGAGGCTAATTGACT